AAACTTAGCCTAATAGAGCAGGTACAATAGCAGGCTATAAGCCAGCTATAAACATATTTTAAAGAGATAAAGGGAAAGAGAGAATAGCAGCGGGCTACAGATATGTAGCCAGCTGTAGCACAGACTCCAAGATGTAATGTGTATATGACAGGTGGGACCAGGTATTAATAGTATAGTAAGCAACTATTGTATGAATTGGCTATTACATTAACTATAGATGAATTGGAGCTAGTAGTGAGCTATACTATTAAACTTGCTCTAAGGGGGAATGGCGGAAAACAATAGAGATAGGTTGGGAAAGAAAGGAAACGAACTCAACCTAAGGAGGAATGGCCACCCAATGGAGATTGCCAAATGAGCTTGGATCTCACGGGCTAGTTGGGAGGAGGGGGGAGTTATTTGAAACCAGAAATTACTTACCCATATATCTTCTTAATACCTTTTTCAATGGTTAGGCATTAAAGGAAATAAAAATATTAAGAAGATATGTAAAATAAGATGAACCATTAACACATGATTACTTAATTATTTTAAACAGGAATAATATATTGATATGATTTTTAAAACCTTTTTTTAGAGATATTTAAAAAGAACACACCGTTTAGCATGTACATAGTGTGAGGCACCAACCTAGACGAATCATTAGGTAATGTACTCCTAAGTACTACCTTTATTTTAAAATAATTGTAACTCTAGATTATTTAGCATATATTAAGATTTAAAACGAATGATTATGGTGTCCCTCATCAAACGGTGTATAGATGAGAGTTGGAGGATGGCTGAGGGTAAAATAGGAAGAAATTTGAATGGAAATGTGATTGGTGGGATAATTAGTATTCTAAAATGGTAACTATTTTGGAACATATTTTAAATCCTAGGAATACATTTATTTTGGAACATAGGTAGTAGGTACAAAGAGGTCTCAAGAATGGTAAAGAAAAACTCTTTCTAAAATATCAATAAACTCAAATGAAACACATGGATTTTGCCGGATTTTCGTTGCGTCAAATTAATTTCCCTGGCAATCAGGCCTTACCGTTTGAGCAGACAACGAAAGGTAAATTTCCGGCTTAGATCGTGTTGACTAGCTTGCATGAGATCAAAACTTGACATTTCTACGGTCATGACTCCACACAATACGGAGCAAAGACGTATAAAAAGCTAACATCGATACGTACCTGGTGACCTCCGCTCGGACCGGGGCAAAGACGTAGCAGAAAGATTCAAGCAGTCCATGCACGTTACTAATTAACTGTACTTTCCCATTACAAACTGTCAAAGCGCTGGTAGGTTGGTAGGGCAGGCAGCCTGTGCAGCGGGTAGCAAAAGCAGGCATCGATCGTACATGGCATGCAGAAAATTTCAGCCGTTCTTTGTGAAAATCCCCCCAAACACCACACCACCCGTCCGGCCGTCCGCGCTGAGAAATCGCGCTGCGTCTACGTACGCTACACTGTCGTCGGGACTTGGGATCAGAGGCAAAGCCGCAAAGGCAAAGGAAAAAGGAAGGGACGCGGCTACTGGACGCCTAGAAGGCTAGTAGAACCAGAAGGCCAAAACCGGGGGAGGTGCGAGCTACCACCAGTCGACCACGTGTACTTGTCTCCGCTGCCCCGGCTTGTGCATGTTTTGGTCAGTCGGTCGCCGGGAAGAAACATCCACGTGACGGCGTGCGTGTGTACGCCCATTTTTAGCCTTCCCCAGGTGAGATCGGATATGTATCGTGTTGAATTTCTGCGCTGGTGCTTGCTTCGTGCCAAGGAGCAAGGATCGAGGACTTCTTTAGAGCAGGTACAATAGTAGACTATAAGCTAGCTGTAAATATATTTTAAGAAGATAAATAAGGAGAGAGAGAAGAGTAGCGGGCTACAGATTTGTAGCCAATTATAGCACGGACTCTAAGACACAATTAGGGGCGGATCCAGAAACAGAAAATTAGGGGAGGAGGGCCTCAATTACATGGTTTCTTCAACCTCTAGCCATTTAGAAACATTTAATTTAGCATTTATGGTGAAAAAATCGAAGGGGGTGCTCCGGGGGTATCCATGGGTCTTGTGGGTGGAGGGGGGACTCGAGTCCCCCCTGCACCCACGTTGGATCCGCCTCTAGACACAGTGTGTATGACTTGTGGGACCATGTATTAATAGTGTAGTATATAACTATTGCATGAATAAGCTATTATATTAGCTATAGATGAATTGAAGCTAGTAGTTGGCTATACTATTAAACTTGCTCTTATGCATGCACTGCTATCGCGAGCCGACCATGGCGTTTTACTAGCTTGTTTAGATTATACTATCTTTATTGGTATTGGGTATATATGCTCTTAGTAGTTGGGAGTTATCTTGCTACTTTACTCAGCACACCCGTCTATATTCTCCCTTGTTTTTAATTCGCAGGTAAGCTATCTGTAACGAGCGTAACATGCAATGCAAGGAAGAATATCTGTAACGAGCATATATACTCTTGAACTACTTCTGGTGCAGGAATAAACATACCCTTTACTTAACTGCTAGAAAGAAAAACAAGCAGCCAAGCAGGGAGCCAAAGGAAAAAAAAAATCCTATGACGACCCGGCAACGCGGAGTACACCAGCTACTAGAGATAGGAGTACCAACCAATCACGGGGCGCGGCATGTGCGTGAAGCCTTGAACGGACGCTGTGATGCGGGGGCGCGACCCACCCCCACCCCCGTCACGCACACGACACACCGCGACGCGAGCAGCCGAGCACACCACACAGGCCGACTTGAGCGCGAGCCGCGGTGCTGGATAGCGCGAAGGGATGAAACTAGGCCACCGAATTGGGCTTCGTTCGGCAAAGCGTCGAAGGGCGGCGTAGGGAACTAGGGACTGGCGCGGTTGGACATGGGCCGTCATGCCGTATGCCCACATCGCGTCGATAACACGGGCCTCTCTCGACGGATTTTTGCAGGGCCCGTCCCACGGTGCGTGCTCTGCTCGTTATGCGGTTGGGCCCAACTCAAGGAAAAAAAGGAAAAAGTATACTTTTACTCCCTCAACTCCGGCCCGAGTATGATTCATGACCTCCAAGGCTCCAACTACAAAACCGGGTATATCGACTCCTCCAACTACCAAAACCGGTGCAAACTATATCCCTGGGTGGTTTTAGAAATGGTTTTGGCTGACGTGACGCCTACATGGTGGTGTTGACTCGGTCTTCGTTCCACGTGTCGTAGACGTGTCGGGCATTAGAGTAAAAACAAAAATTTGTAGGACCAACATGTCATTCACACGAGAAAAAATAGTGGGACCCACCGACATGTGGGCCCACATGTCATTCTCACCGACGCCCCATCCCTTCTTCCTCCCCTCTCTCTCTCCTTTCTCTCTCTTTCTCTCCCCTTTCTCTTCGTCTGCAGGCGGCGGCGGGTGTTCGAGGGCCGTAGCGGCGGCAGCCAGCGGGAGGGCGGGCGCTGCCTAGAGACGGAGCGGCGACGAGGCGCCCTCGAGGCGGAGCTATGGCTCGTCGTCCTCAAGGCGTTCCGATGGCTCCCGCCGCCCATGCATGTCGTGACGCCTGTGCCGCCGTCGCCGCCTCCGGCGCCGGGGCTCTGCTCCACGTTGGCGTCGGCGCCGCCGGCCCATGCACGCGCACACATGGTGCTCTGCCTTCTCTCATGTACCTCTCCAGTGTCTCCCTGTGCCTCTCCTCGTGCTCCCCTCTCATCAGTAGTTGGCTAGCTGCACACGCAAAATACATTCACACTCATCGCCTACATAGCTCACTCTCACTGACATCATATCACGTCAATGCAAGGTGTTTGTTGCTATCACGACGTATCCTGGCGGCAAGGATCTGGACGCCGGCATACTTGACGTCCCAGCTGAACTTGGTGATGGCCCAGCAGGTGCCGCCAAACTCGTCCGCGTTGTCGACGATGTAGTCGAGGTAGGCGGCGGCGGCGGCAAAGGCATCGCGACGTGCGTGGGCGCGGCGGGAGCCGTCGCGACGCCTTGAGGACGACGAGCCGTAGCTCCGCCTCGAGGGCGCCTCGTCGCCGCTCCGTCTCGAGGCAGCGCCCGCCCTCCCGCTGGCTGTCGCCGCTACGGCCCTCAAACACCCACCGCCGCCTGCAGACGAAGAGAAAGGGGAGAGAAAGAGAGAGAAGGGAGAGAGAGAGAGAGAGGAGGATGAGGAAGAAGAAGGGATGGGGCGCTGGCGAGCTCCTCTCTGCGGGTGAACGGCCGACGAGCTCCTCCCCCGCGCGTGGACGGCCAGCGACCTCCTTCCCTGTGCGTTGTCGCCGCCGCCCCGCGCTCTAGTGATTGAAGGTGAGAGGAGAGGAAAAGATGAGAGAGAGGGGAGAGGGGTGAGAATGACACGTGGGGCCATATGTCGGTGGGTCCCACTATTTTTTTTTTGTTAATGACACGTTGGTCCTACAAATTTTTGATTTTACTCTAATGCCACCTAAGCGACACGTCGACGACACGTGGGACGAAGACCGGGTCAACACCGCCACGTAGGTGCCACGTCAACCAAAACCACCTAGGATATAGTTTGCACCGGTTTTGGTAGTTAGAGGAGTCGATATATCCGGTTTTGTGGTTGGAGGTCATGAATCGTACTCTGGCCATAGTTGAGGGAGTTAAAGTATACTTTTTCCAGGAAAAAATGAATCGAGTGTGTCAAACTGAACTGAAGACTTAAAAAGGTTGAATGGCAGTTTGACTGCTAGTGCATTAATCAGATTTAAACTTACAATACTACTTATTTTTTTCCCTCTCGAGGAATGTCTAGCAGTATATTTGCTTGACAGCTCAAAAATATAAAGGATTTGCAGTACCATCCAAATTTAGGAACAACATACATGGAAAAGACAAATCGCCTGGTGCATGAGGCGCTTACGTGCAGGAAAAATAAAAGGAAACTGAAGCTGGAAAAAAGAGAGACATTATAATTTGCCGTTGCTCATTTTCTATTTTAGTGAGAGTTACATGCGGGTGCAGTGGTGCGTGTGAGTTGTGACTCTCCACTTCCGTGTAATCGGGAAAAGAAGTAAAAAAGAAAAGAAAAGGGGAGTCGGAGAGAGCACCGGTAGCATTATTCCAAGCAGGTGGACCCGCGTGTCATCCCCACTCTACAAAGCGCAAAATCATCAAGGGCCTTCGCCTCGGCGTGGAGGAGAGTGAGGACGGCCCACGCGGAGCAGCAGAGAGTGGCGGGCTCAGTGTCGGGCTCGCCGGAGTCCGGCCAATCCGGCCGGTTCATGCTTCATTCTCTCGGTGCGTGATTTCTCCGATTTTCGTCTCCATCTAGTACCTGAAGCGAGGCAAATTTAATTGCCCCCTTTTCGGTGCAAACTATCTCGTCAGATTAGTCGCATGCATGTTCCTTCGTTGAATTTTGCAAAGTTAGTTGTAGAGAGAAGTTCTTGGGAGGGTGGATGCTACGGTCTCATCTTCTCTCTTTTCCCCCAACAAGCGAGCTAGCGAAGGGGAAAATGGGGGGAGCAGAAGAATATCCATGTTAGGTTCGCGTGCTTGCCTCTCGGCTGAGCTCTAGCTGTTACGGCGTTCGTCAGGATGGCTAATCCGTCTCGCCAATTAGAAGATGGATAGGTCGTAGCGTTAGATGGATTACTTGATGGTTGATGCGCTGCCCATTTATTGTTCGTAGCAGGTTCTGTCTTCTCAGTCCGTGTGAGTGTTTCATCATATTGGCTACCAAGATGATCACTCTTCGTTTATCAAGAGAGTAGGGTGAGATCTCAATCCGTTGCAACTGATGAGTACTTCCTTCGTCTCAGAATGTAAGTATTTTTGAGTTAGACACAGATATTAAAAAAGTAGGTAGAGATGATTGGAGGAGAGTTGTGATTGATGGGGAAGAGAAAGTAGGTGAAAAAAATGGTTGTGATTGGTTAAGAGGAGAGAGTAGGTGAATAAATAGCTTCATTTTGGGACAAGTTACTGTACTAAAAATAGATACATTTTGAGACGGAGATAGTAGTATACTTCACTTACTACCGAGTACGGCTTTAGTTTTGCTACCTCCGTCCTAAAATATAGTAACCTAGGATCGGATGTAGCATGTTACTACTAATCTAGATAGGCAGCATGTCTAAATTAATAGTAATATGATGTGACTCGTTTAGTACAATATTGATATATTTTAGGATGGAAGAAATATATAAATACTGTTTTTTTATTCGAAGTAGTTGGCCCATCATTTCTGAAATAGATGATTGATGCCATGACGCCGCTTGCTTTCTAGAACTACTAGTAATTTTAGGTGAGAGCTAGTACTGATGCGTCAGTCTAAGATAATGGACAAAAAAGGGCTACAGGCTACTATTGATTATCACATTAAAACTCTGTACGACAGATTTTTCTGATTAAATGATAGCCATATGCCCAACGTGCTGCTTGTCTAAACTGAAACCTGACATCACTCACAGTATGCCCAGTTGTTGGGTGGTCTATTATTATTTATAAATTATAACTCTGGCATTTTTTTATTGTAGGGCAATATGTTTTCCATTATTTTCCATTAAAACCTCTAATCTGCACTTCCACTATCTGCTCAAAATCTCAGGCTACTTTCTTTCCTCTTCCTCAGGACATTAACCTGGTTTACTTGTAAGAAAGTAAAGCCATGGACTCCTCATACCAGCATGACAAGCCTCTGCTGGATGAAGAGAACTCCTCGCAAGTGGTTTGTTCTCTCTCTCTCTCACTCTCATAGCGAGATTTGTCTGATTTTTTTCTCTTAAAGAGAAAAAAATATTTGGCCAAATTTGAGGTGCCTTTTCTGCTTTCATCAAATGGTGTGAAAATACTGCTTTCAGCTGATGTTTTGTTTCTGTTTAATGCTCTAGTTCTAGAGTGTTGCGAAAGTAAAAAAGAAATATAGAGTGAAGTTCAGTCGGAAAATTTTCTCTTACTTAAAATTATTTTATATGGTTGCACTAGTATGGGGCATGGCCGACTGGGGCATGCAATCCAAGATAAACTTTCAAATGTTCTGTCTAAATATATCATCCTTACAATAAGGACATAAAGTGGTAGCAATATATTACTAATGTGACCATAAGAATGGCTAGGCCCTTGCATACTAATAATGTTTTTAGTTAGTGATACTTTGCAGTTTTTTTGGATGATCAGTTAATTTGCTTCCAATGTATATAATATAATTTTGTTCTTAGGATAAATTTTCCTGGAAATATATAGAATAATTCCATCTACATTAGGAAAATGCACAATTCTCTATTGAAACATCTATACCAGTGATGGATGACACTGGCATTAAAGGCTATTTGTGTTTTTTACTTGGAAATGCAGACCCTTGAATATACAGGTGATGGATCTGTTTGCATCCGTGGGCATCCTGCTTTAAGGAAACATACAGGGAACTGGAAGGGTTCCTCATTAGCCATCGGTTAGTGCTGAAAAATGATGTTGCATTGTCAAGCTTCTGCTTGAAGATATAGTAGGATATTTGATGCTAAATACTCGAACATCTGAAACTGATTTCATTTCCCAGCATTTATATATATTACAGTATTATTATGATTTATGAATATTCTTTCCTCCTGTGTTTGGGTTCTGTTTAATTTTATACTGGACCTTTTATGGTTCATTTTTTATTGCAGTTTTTTCATTCTGCTCTTATCTGGCCTTTACTTCAATTGTAAAAAACCTAGTCAGTTATCTCACAAAAGTTCTACATGAAACAAACGTGGCCGCTGCAAGAGATGTTGCAACTTGGTCAGGAACAAGTTATCTTGCACCTCTGGTTGGAGCCTTCTTAGCTGATTCATATCTGGGGAAGTACTGTACAATTCTGATCTTCTGCACGATCTTCATTATCGTAAGTGACAGTATGAACTAATGCACGTTTGTATATCATCTAAAATAACGATTATAATCCTTTTTTTTTGGAAGTAAACACTGTAAGAGATGATCCCAATTCCTACGTCCACTCAGTGAGCAAAAATTTGTATCCTCAGTGAACAATAGTATGAAATTCAGATGGACGAATGGCAGTATTAAACTCTAGTTTATACAGTTAATCTTCAGATGTAAGAGGAGTGATGCATTCAACACTTGACAAACTTTTATAGACATGATTGTTTACATTTTCCTTTATATCATTTTTCTAGACATGACCGTTTACATTTTCCTTTATACCATTTTTCTAGAAATGGTCGTTCACATTTTTTTCCTTTATCCTTTTATTTAGGGATTGATGATGTTGCTTCTGTCAGCAGCAGTTCCATTAATCTCTACTGGTCCTCACTCATGGATCATATGGACAGATCCAGTCTCTTCTCAGAACATCATATTCTTTGTCGGTTTGTACATGGTTGCTTTAGGGTATGGTGCACAGTGCCCCTGCATATCATCATTTGGTGCTGATCAATTTGATGACACTGATGAAAATGAGAGAACAAAAAAGAGTTCTTTTTTCAATTGGACCTATTTCGTAGCCAATGCGGGCTCATTGATCTCGGGGACTGTTATTGTGTGGGTGCAAGATCACAAAGGTTGGATCTGGGGTTTTACCATTTCTGCACTATTTGTGTATTTAGGTTTTGGTACTTTTATCTTTGGCTCCTCTATGTATAGATTTCAGAAACCTGGAGGAAGCCCTCTTGCGAGAATATGCCAGGTTGTTGTTGCTGCTATTCACAAACGCGATAAAGATTTGCCATGTGATTCCTCAGTTCTTTATGAGTTTCTGGGGCAGAGTTCAGCAATCGAAGGCAGCCGAAAATTGGAGCATACAACTGGACTTAAGTAATACACTATGTTGACATTACAACTTTGATGCCTATATTCTATGCTTTTATTTATGCTTGCATTTCTGTTGAACTATAATTTATTTCATTTCTAGTAATATGATTTTGTAAGCTTGTCTTTAACTCATTCTAGTGTAGTGCCCATGCGATGCACTGGTTTTTATATACTACCTCTATTTTAAGTATATGATGCTATTGACTTTTGGACATGATGTCTGACCATTCGTCTTATTAGAAAATTTAGTGCAAACATTCAAAAATATAGGTCATGCTTAAACTATCTTCAATGATAAAACAACTCACAACAAAAAAAAATGGTACTCACATAGTTTTTTCAAATAAGATGAATGGTCAAACATTAGATCCAAAAATTAACAGCGTCGTATATTACAAAACACTGGTAGTACATGAATATCATATAGCTTAATTTTAAAATTTCAAAATGATGGCTTGAAATATAAAACTAAATTAAATTATATCAACCAGCCATATACTTGTGTACAATATGCAAATATTTTTTTAAAAAAATCCTACAGTAACACTTTGAATAATAATTTTAATATTTTGGGAAACTCCTCTTTTTAGGGAGTAGAGATACTTAATTCCAGTAAAGCATTTCATTCTTTCACTCTTTGAAAATTCTTCTGTGGGACACATCACACAATACAAATATGGAAAACCAGTTAACATTACAAGAGTTTCAGCACATTGTTTATAATATTCTCTAAAGAAATGTCTCTTGTGATATCGCTTTTGAAACAAAGTCTCCCGTAATACACTTATTTCTGCTGTTCATTTATACATACTAGAAGCAAACCTTCATTGTTCATGAACCTTTGTTTGTCAATGCAAAGTCGGCAAGGAGCTGTCCATTCCATCTCAGCTCTATCAAGTTAGCCATCTATTTATTTTATTTCTCTCAGGTTCTTTGATAGAGCTGCAATGGTGACACCATCTGATTTTGAATCTGATGGCCTACTAAACACATGGAAGATTTGCACAGTCACTCAAGTGGAGGAACTGAAGATTTTGATCAGGATGTTCCCCGTTTGGGCAACGATGATATTATTTGCTGCAGTTCTGGACAACATGTTTTCGACATTCATAGAACAGGGGATGGTGATGGAGAAACACATCGGCTCTTTCGAAATACCTGCGGCGTCCTTCCAATCCATTGATGTCATTGCTGTCCTTATACTAGTTCCAGTCTATGAAAGAGTCCTTGTTCCAGTGTTCAGAAAATTCACTGGCAGAGCAAATGGCATTACTCCACTGCAGCGAATGGGGATCGGCCTGTTCTTTTCCATGCTCTCCATGGTATCAGCAGCATTGGTGGAGAGTAATCGGTTGCGGATTGCGCAGGATGAAGGTTTGGTGCACAGGAAGGTGGCTGTTCCAATGAGCATCCTGTGGCAGGGACCCCAGTACTTCCTGATAGGCGTGGGAGAGGTGTTCTCAAACATTGGGTTAACTGAATTTTTCTACCAGGAATCACCGGACGCCATGAGAAGCTTATGTCTCGCATTCTCACTTGCTAACGTTTCGGCAGGAAGTTACCTCAGCTCGTTTATCGTTTCTCTTGTGCCAGTGTTCACAGCCAGAGAAGGCAGTCCTGGATGGATACCTGATAACTTGAACGAAGGGCATTTGGATCGGTTCTTCTGGATGATGGCTGGCTTGTGTTTCTTGAATATGCTGGCCTTTGTGTTCTGTGCCATGAGGTACAAATGTAAGAAGGCTTCCTGAACCTTGTTAACATTAGCAATATAATGGTGGTGGAAAAGGACAATTGTGTTGCAAAAGCATGCACCCGTTTTCATATATAAAAGTAAGAAAATCTTGCTGCAAAGCATGCCCCGATTTTCATGGTGAACTTTTGCTTGATCTGGCTATGAGTAGCTGGCAGAATATGAACTGTTGTCTACTCATAGTCGTCTAGCTTTTTTCTTAATCAAAGTTTTTTGTTTGACCAAGTTTATAAAAAAAAATAGCAACACCTACTAAATTAGTTTAATTAAATTTAACATTAAATATATTTTAATAATATGTTTGTTTTGTATTGAAAATATTACTATATTTTTCTATAAATTTGGTTAAACTTAAAATATTTTAATTAAGAAAAAAGTCCGACGACTTATAATATGAAATGGAGTATGAAATGGAGGAAGTAGATTTGAATGTGCTGTTTAATTCACTCTCAGCAAAATACCTGAAATTTGTATTTGAACAGTTGGGTGTATTTGGTGTATGATTCATTATCATCTCCTCTATCATTTGAGATCATTAACTCCTTTTTTTTTTATACACAAAGCGCATATCATTGTATTGAAATTAGGAAATTGGTTTCGCTCAGATACAAACTATGTACAAAAGATAAGAAAAGGAGGTACGAGAACTGCGCCTAGCGCAGTGGACAGGGTCTGAGGTGGTGCGCCCTATGGCCTACGCTCGATTCCCCGCGAACACACTCACTCCTCTCTTAGGGTGTGTTTGAGGAGGAGGGGATTGAGGAGATTGAGAAAATACGCAAAACGAGGTGAAACATTAGCTCATGATTAATTAAGTATTAACTATTTTAAATTTAAAAAATGGATTAATATAATTTTTTAAAGCAATTTTCATATAGAAAATTTTTGCAAAAAACACACCGTTTAGTAGTTTGGGAAGCGTGCGCGCGAAAAACGATGTGCATTCTCACTCCCTATCACCCAAAACGAACGCAGCCTTAATACATATCGATATGAAAGCCCTTTCGACATGACGATCTCTCGCAACACATTTTTGAATGACTGAGCACACCATCCAGACAGGTACTCCCATATCACGCCAGAGTACTGCCACCTCTGCAACTTCCCGCAATGTTTTGCATTGGTCATTCAAGACCCAATCATTTGTTTCGCTCTTTTCAAATTGTCAAGGCAACTAGGATGACAAACGCGTCAAATCCCCGCCACATTGATGTTGTGGTTTGGCTTTGCCTGTCGTCTCTCTTATGCTCGCGTTTAATAATTTGTCACTGGAGAGAAGTGATTTCTTAACTATTTATACATACGTGGCATGCCCACGTGGAAAGCAACATGAACCCCACCCGTCAGCCCCTTCCCTCTTCTTCTCCACCTTTGGCCATCGCATGGATACTTTTATACTCACATAATCTTACAAGGGTATGAATTAATATAGCCAATAAAGATGAGATAATTTTTTTTTGTTTTTTTTTAAGAGTGAAAGACCAAGAACAGCTATAGAGGGGGGGGGGGGGGTGAATATAGCAATTCAAATCTTGCCCCCGAAAATACTCATCAAGCCGGATTTCTCAAAATCCTTACTAGAATCGCGGCTATTAGAGAAGCCGGATCTAGAAAAGAAGAGAGAAAAAGAAGAGAAAAGGAATTCCCGAAACTAGAGGAGGAAGAGAAAAGGAATTCCCGAAACTAGAAGTGAGGTGAGAAAGAGAGAGCAAAACTCATCATCGCAAAGTTCAAATTGCAAGCGGAATTTAAATTGCGGAATTTAAATGGACAAGGCAAAAATGAAATCCTTCAAATCATTTCATTTATAGGTGATGCAAAATAACCGCTCAACTAGGAGCAAACATACACCTTCAGAGGAACATTAACACAAACTTAAAATCTCTCGGACAAACACACTCCAAACTAATCCTAATACAAAAGCCTCTCGGGCAAACACACTCCAAACTCACACGGAAACTCTCTCACCGAGCATCTCAAAATGATTACCAAAAGGAGCGACCTCCACCCTTGCATCCATCTCTCTATTTATAGCCTAAGACCCCTAAGACATTGTCTCAAATACCCCTAGGGCGAAACCCTAACTCAGAACAGATCTGGTCCATCCATTGTTCCTTCTACTCAAAGGAAAAGCTCCAGATGATTGCCACCTCATCGATCCGAACCCTCACATGGTCTTCTTGCTGATGAATCCGCGTGCTCTCCGTCTTGACGAATCCAAACTTGCCACGTTGCCCAGCCGCGTCGTGCGCGTTCCGTCTCCTTTTCCTCAGCGCGCGCTCGCCAGCGCCCAACCAGCCCGAAGCCGCCACGCGTCCCGCTGAGCCGCTCCCGCGCGCGCTTGCAAAATCGCGTGTGGGTCCCGCGCTCCTGCACCCGCCTCCGATCGAGTCACGCGAAACGGGGGTTGCCGCGTACGGTTTTTCCGCGCGCGTCCTTGCGCATGCAAGCTGCCTGCACCTCCTGAGCCCATGCGCCATGGGCCGCCGTCTTGGGCCGTCGCTGCTTGGACGATGCAGGCCTGCCGAGCCGAGCCATTCACCATCTTGGGCCACGTGGAACGGCTGGATTGGCTTGGCCTCCCTGCCAACCAATCACAGCGCACATGCACAGCTAGCTAGCTTGACTTTTCCACCGAGCCATGCTAGTAGCAACCAGTACAGTGCAAGCTCCTCCTTGCACAAGTACAGTACGTGTACATGCATGTATGCTACCTACAGCAAGTACTGTAGCAGCAATGCACTTGCACAGTCCCTTCTGATTTCTTCGCGAATCCGATGCTTGCACACTTGGCCTTGTGAAGCCTGTTGCAAAGACCTTTTCACACGGTGTTCGTCCACCGTGTGCAACCTTGTGTCCAATCTTGTCACCCGGCATCCTTGATCGCTTTGGACCTCAACTCCTCCCTGAGTCTAGTCCCGATCCGCCGTTGACCAAGATCGACCCCGATCACCTGCACACACATGAACCAAACAACCGTTGTCTTGGCACAGATGTCGCAACCTGACCAACGTTAGTCCACACACACACTTCTTGCACATCCGGTACTTGTCAATTTCCCATCACAAAAGAACTATAACCACACATGGTTTCACAATCTCCCCCTTGATGGGAACATTGACAATCTCAAGCAAAATTTTGAAAATTTGATTTTTGATTCACAAAGCAAACCATTTTGCAAAAGCGAACTTTGGTCATTTTGAAATCGCGAAAAATCAAGACCAAGTGACAAGAAGAAAAAAGGGATGCAAATGCAAATGCAAGAATGCTCCCCCTATGTGCCAAACTCCCCCTTTCACCAAGATTTAAAGCAAGTTTTAATTTTCAATAAGTGCAAATTTCTCTCCCCCTTTGTCAATGATGCCATCAAGATCAAAAGAGACAAAAATGCAAGATAAAAATGAGATGAAACTTGCAAATTTTAGGTTTTGAGAGCTTTGAGAGTTATCTAAAGGCATCAAAAGGTAGACATGGATCACATAGATACAAGCATGTGCTCAAGCCTAGCTAAGCATGTGCATAAGAAGTATGAAACAAGTCATGAATATCAAGTTAGTATCGCCAGCAAGCAAAAAGCTTTCAAGTGAATTAGTGATTTAGTGTGCAAAGCTATTTCTAGAAGAAGCTTAAAAGGAAGCAAACCAGCTCATAATCATGCAAGATTTACATAAACAAAGCAATGAACCCATGCTAATGTGCTAATGCCCAGTTCATAAAGAGTATCAACATGATAACAAAGCATAGAACATGAGCTTTTAATCTTTTCTCATGACTTTTATTTTTATGATTTTTTTTTAATTTCTTTAAAGACAATAGCACAATCACGACGGTCCACCTGATCTTATCAGTCAGCAAGTGATGGTTGTGCCAAACACTGCCGTCTGACCTCAATCAAGTTTTCCAGCTAGAGTTCCCATTACAGGCTGTCTCAGTGCTATCTTCGGCACTACTCATGCGTAAACGCACTCAGTAGCCCGGACAAAAACAGAGATAAAACTTGTAAAGCATGATTGATACAAAGTATGGACGCATAAGCATGAGCATTCATAAGCATGTACTGACAGTTATTGCGAAAAGAATGTAAACATGGCATGAGTATGAGAAGGATACTTCAATTTAAACAAACTTCTAGAGCAAGCATTGCACATTGATTGAGTTCAAATGAATAGTTAATTTAAGCAGGTTTCAACACGCTTGAACAGCATAACATGATCACACAAGCTACTTAAGCAAATGAAAGCTAGACAAGAGATCAAACTAGCATAAGAGTGATACATCCATAGCATAGTGATGACCAAGAGATAACAAGCAAAGCTCAATTGAAGAGTGTATAATACAATGCATAAAGTAAACATGATGCAATATGTTACAAATGCATGCAAAAGAAAAACAACTCCCCCTCAAATCAAGCCATAGGGGTGGATCACCCCTAACTCACTCCGCAAGAACTCAAAACGAGAGCGATCAAGTGGTTTTGTAAAAATGTCTGCCAATTGTTTTTCAGATTCAACAAATTCTAGCACAATGGTACCTTTCTCAACATTGTCTCGGAGAAAGTGGTACCGTATCTCAATGTGCTTGGTCCTGGAGTGTTGAACTGGATTTTTTGCAATATTGATTGCACTTGTATTATCACAAAGCAGAGGAACACCAGAGAAAGACAGACCATAATCTTTCAGAGTTGAAATCATCCAAAGAACTTGACTACATGCACTAGCAGCAGCTACGTACTCAGCCTCAGCTGTTGATTGAGCAACAGAAGACTGCTTACGAGAGGACCAAGAGACCAAAGAAGTGCCAAGAAAATGACAAGTGCCAGAAGTACTTTTGCGATCAATCTTACACCCAGCAAAATCAGCATCTGAAAAAGCTCGAACTGAAAGGGCAGAAGAGCAGGAGTACCAAATACCGTACTCAAGTGTAGACTTGATGTAGCGGAACATGCGCTTGACTGCTTGGCGATGTGATGTTCTTGGAGAAGCCTGAAACCTCGCGCACAGGCACACGGAGAAGTGGATGTCCGGCCTTGACGCAGTCAGGTAGAGGAGGGAGCCGATCATGCTTCTGTACTCGCGCTGGTCAACTTCTTCACCGTCCTCAT